CATCCCCCCCCCAATAGCAACCAAGAAACAAAGTGGGAGTAAGCAGGAGAAAGAATGGTTTCAGCTGAAGTTGTTTTATAGGTTGATACAAAGGCTGGAGCACTTGAAAGGTTCAGATGACAAAGGGTACTTATACTCAAATGAAGGATTCTGAACCCCTCCCCAATAACTTAGCTTTAACATGGGAGAGGGACTCTTAGGTTCATTGAAAACTATGGCAAGGAGGGTCTGGAGCATCATGTTCAATATAAAGTAACTTTTCTTTCAGGTAATTAGGGCAATCTCTCAAAAGTCACTGTGTGCATGCCCAAGATGGTGTCCTGTTGCATTTGAGGAGAGCTTCAGGGAGATGATTGTCCTTTTCGGGGCTTGCAGGGCTACCCTATCCCATCGTTGGTTCCAGGTCTAGCTATGAGAACTTCCTGGGACCTCGGGGATACCCTTGAGCTGCGATTTACTGCTTCGTAGCCAGAACGTCATGAGTGAAATGGTGCGGTTGGCGGTGAAAGGAGAATGAAGAGCGGCGGCGGATGCCAGCGTGGGTGTGGTCAGTGGTGGCGGTGGGTCACTTGGCCTGGGGTCTCTGCAGCTGGCATGGGTGTGGTTGTCATCAGCGGGACGCCCAGCCTGGGATCTCTGAAGCCAGCATTGGTGTGGTCAGTGGTAGCGGCGGCAGCAGCGGCAGCAGACGCCTGGCTTGAGATCTCTGCAGCTGGCGTGAGTGTGGTCGGCAGCGGCAGTTGGAGACCCGGCTTGGGATCCCTGCGGCTGCTGTTTCCCGAACCTTGGTGTTATCTTGACTGCTCCCCCCCTCCTCCTTGCTTATGAACATGATAATTTGAATCAGAGGGGAGTGGCTGAGGCAGCTGGCATGGATATTTATGCCAGCAGAAGATGGCTTCGGTGGTTGGCATGGGTGCGGTTGGAGTTAGGGGGGGTCCTTCATTCTGGCCCCCTCCGGTATCACCACCATTGCCTGGGCTACCGTACTGTGTCATTTGGACATTTGGCCCGGAATTCTTGTGACAATATGGACTGGGTTAATGGAGTGCGGCCCTGGCAATGGACTAGCCACTTCACCACCTCACAATTCACCATCTGCTGCGTTTTTGACATCTGGCCGTTACTCTTACATATTGTCCTTAACACCGACCATTGTTATGATGGACACCCACTACCCCCCTTGAATACTGTTGGCTGCTCCCTCCCCTGTGGACATGTCATCTCCTCGTTCCATCTCCCCATGATGTCATCCCATTTGGTTGATGCCACACTCTCCTCTATGTTACACTGCAACAGAACTTTATTCCCTTCAGGAACGCCCCCTTTCCTGGGGATGGCCTTCTTGCCTATCAAGACGCTTCCTTAATGACGGATCTTGGGATCCTGAGAGGTGGCATGTGAAGAAGAGATTTCTTAAGGGTTTCATCTCTACCCCAAACCACCCAAACAATGCCCTCAACATGATGTCCTGATGCCTGGAGGCTGTGCGGATCTGGATGGGGAGCAACAGGCTCAAGCTCAATCCCTCCAAGACTGAGTGGCTGTGGTTTCCGTCATCCCGATTTGTGCATTTTGTTCCATCTTTGATGATAGGGGGAGAAATTTTACCCCCCTCAGGGAGGGCCCGCAATCTGGGCGTCCTCCTGGATACGTGGCTTAGTCTAGAAGAACATCTGACAGCCGTGACCAAGGGGGCCTTTTACCAGGTTTGCCTGGTACATCAGTTGCGCCCCTTCCTAGATCGGGATGCTCTGTGCACAGTCATTCATGCCCTCGTCCTTTCTCGCCTGGACTACTGTAACGCTCTCTACATGGGGCTGTCCTTGAAGAGCACCCGGACGCTTCAGATGTTCTTCTAGACTAAGCCACGTATCCAGGAGGACTCCCAGATTGCG